GGTGTCCAGGGCGCCCAAGCAATGGGGAGCATCGGAAATCACCCGCTTCCTCAAAGATCAAGGGTGGGAGGAGGCAGAGGTGAAAGGATATCCAGCAGGAAGGAGAGGTGGGTGGTCTCCACCGTGCCCCCAGCAGGAGGAGCGGCGACAGGGATCGGGTACACGCTGGCGGCTACTGGGGCAAAGGTCATCACGGTGTCCCGCCTGGCGAAGACTCACCGGGCGCCGGTGACCAAGTCCATCAAGTACGCCGGAGGAGGCATCCGCAGCGATCTGCTGAAGAAAGCCAAGGGGCTACAGCAGCAGGCGGCGAGAGGGGCCCAGCAGAGGAAGGATGAGGAAAAGAAAAAGGAGGAGGAAGCCAGAGAAGGCAGAATGGAGGCAGAGGAGGAGAGAAAGACAGAGGATGCAGGCAAGAGGAAGGAGGATGGATGGCACTGCAGCGAAGCCGCAGGAGAAGAAGACCAAGATAGGAGACGCCACCCATCCCATGGGTAAAACCCTGTGGGACCTCGGCGGCAATGGGGACTGCGGAGTCCGTGTTTGCTGTGGAGTGTGGGGGATCATGCAAGGACGCAATAAAAAAGATATACGGCGCAAGATCCAGGATGAGGCGGCTCAATTCCGATTTTCGGTGGCCCGTGAGGTCGCGAAGAAAGAAGTATTCAAGGATGCTTGGGCCGCGGACACGTTGGCGACGGTCGATATGGAGGGGGGGCCGGTGCCCCACACGTACAAGGAGTGGCTGGAGGCCATTGGGCGGCCAACGCGGTGGGTCGACGAATACATACTCGCAGCCATGGCCAACCGGATGGAGAGGAACATCACGGTGTTCTTGTGGGAGAGCGGCAAGTGGGAAAAAGGCTGGGTCATCCCGCCCTACAACGCCAAGATCGCTCAGAAAGCAAGGCAGCACTCCCCAGTTACCGTGTGCCTGAAGGGCAAGCACTACTACGGCTTGCTCGTGGACGGCGAGGTGCCCAAGGAGTGGGGGGACCCTCCCCTTCAGGAGAGGGCTTCGTCCGCGTTGCGTGGCTGCGGCTGGATGCCTTCCACCCCAAGAGCGGCAGGGCGACGGAGACCAGCGCTGGCCCCCCGAGGGAGGGGCAGCAGCGGCAGGGATGCCAGGGTTCCCCGTCAGCATGGCGATGGCCGGGCAGCAGGATTGCGAGGCAAAGAGGGAGCAGGAGCAGGACGAGAGGAAAGGAGGCAGCAGCTCCCAGGAGGTGAAGCGATGGATGCCGGCCACTCCTGGCACTGCCGGTTGGCCCTCCGCTCCAGCCAGTACCGCCAGCTGGACACAGCTGAGCCCAGAGGGAGTGAGGCGGAGGTTGAGGGAGAAGCAGAGGCCGAGGACGAGGAGCGAGGGAGAGGTGCCTGAGGAGGCAGCTGAGGATGGCAACTTGACCTGTCAGAGGCAGCCCCGAGGAGGAAAAGGAGGAGGAGGAGAAGGAGGAACAGCAGCAGCAGCCGCACCAGCAGCAGCAGCCGCCGCAGCAGCCGCCGCAGCTGCCTCGTCGAGTAAAGGCTGGATGCCAGCCACGCCAGGAACTGCCAGCCTGCCACTCGCCCTCCCTAGTGGTGCCGAGGATCGGCCGGTACCCAAGGGAATCAGCACCACCATTACGGATGGGCTGGAGGAGCTCCGAGGAACGGAGGAGGAGGAGGAGAAGGAGGAGGAGCAGGAGAAGGAGGAAGAGGCAGCTGGGACCGCGCCCCCGCCCGCAGGACGGCTCCCGCGCTGGCGCTGCCCTCTTTGCATCGCCGTCCCATGGGTCGCCGAAGCCCCCAAGTGGAAAGGTGTGTATGCCAGGAAAGCCACGCACCCACGGAAGGCGCATCCTGAGGAAGCGGTGGCGCTGCTGAGGAACCGGGCGCCGCCGCCGACCCTCATCGAGGCCACGACGGCGCTCCCTCCGGCGCAGAGGGAGTGGACATGCGGACTGTGCGACGCGGGACTCCCCACCTTGGGGCGGGCGCAGGGGAGGCTAAGCAGGAGGAGCCATTGGCAGACGTGCTACGACGACGTGTCGTTCGAGGAGTTCTGCAGGAAGGTGGTCACGAAGCGGAACCTGGCGGTGCAGCAGGAGCGGTTCCCTGAACATGCCCTCGTGGCGCTGCCGTACTGGGGCCACGCCGAGCACGTGGAGTACAGGAAGGACGGCACTCGCGTGACCATGACGCAGTTCAGATGCAAGAGGTGCCTGTTCGCGGTGGCGGGCGCCAGCGTGGCCTCCAAGCAGCTCCGGCATGGGCTTTCATGCGAGCAGAACCGCCACTACACGCTCACGGACAGCAACGCGCGTTCGCAGCTGCGGGAATGGTGGCTCGAAGTGCGGAAGGCTGGGGAGGAGGAGGAGACTTTGAGGAAGCTGGAGTGGCACAGGAAGTTCTTGAACTTTTTGGTCGATGACTGGTGCCCCGTTGCGCACACGCATGCTCCCTACAGGAGACGTTCCGGTGAGGGCGCCGAAGAGTACAGGGAGCGCACGAGCCACGTGCGAGCCCAAACACAGGCGCACAGGATCAAGCACAGGCGGAAGCATTGGAATCCCAGGCAACCCCGGAAGAAGGAGGCGGCCAAAGGTCGCAGGGCGCCGGCAAAGCATGAGGAAGGCCAGGAGGAGGCCGGAGCGCCGGTGCGCAGGCAGAGGAAGAGCGAGGAGGCTCCGAGCACCAGTGCAGAGGCAGGAGGAAGTAAGAGGAGGCAGAGGAGACAGGAGGAGATCAGAGGACCCGCGAGGAGGCACAGGATCAAGGAGGAGGCCGAACCACCTGCGAGAAGACAGGAGGACGCCGTGGCACCAGCGAGCACGCCGAGGATGCCACCGCAAGAGGAGGCACCAGAGAGGAGGAAGAGGCAGAGGCTACCGAGCAGGCCAGGGCGGGGTTGCAAGGCGCCCCGATCCTGAAGGTGCTGGGGGGGCACGGCTACCGCAGTGCGCCCCCCGCCGGTAGCTGGAGGGTGGGTTCGAAACCTTGAAGAGGATGGGGACGTGGAGCCGCACCCGGGCCCTGCGTCAAAGAAGGGGCGGCCGTGGGCCACGACGTGGACGGTCAACGTAGGGTTGGGAGAGACATCGTGGCAGGCGCTGGAGGCGGCGAGCCAGGCAGAAATAGATGTTGGGGCTCACGGACCAGGATTGCGCAGCATTCGAGGCCCGCGCGCGCAAGTTCGGCTACAGGAGCCACTTTTCGGGAGGCGCCGTGGCCCAATCAACGGCGCTCCACCAGGCAGGCAGACCCACTGGTGGGGTTTGCACGTTGGTGTCCAAGGCGCTGCGCTCTCAGCAGCTGGACCACCTGGTGGGCGAGGACGCGCAAGCGGTGGCGGTGCGGGTCGAGGACCTGATCACGGTCAACCTCTACCGGCCTCCCGGCAAGGCCAGGGACGAGGCCATGTCGTTCGTGCTGGGGCTGCTGGAGACGCTGAGCCGTAAGCACACCTGGTGCACTGCGGGCGACTTCAACGACGAGCCCGGGGAGAATCCGCTGTGGGATCTGCTCCGGGAAGGAGGAGCGCGTCTCCGGACGGCGCTGGACGACAGAGGAGGCTGCGTTCCGACGCGCCGGGAGGGGCGCAGGTGCATCGACTACTACGTAGCCTCGCACCCGACGTGCTGTGACCAGCCGGCGTTGGAGGACATCTCGTTCAAGGACATAGCTCGTTAAGGACATGTATCGAGGAATGAGCCCCTCGGTGAGGCCGAAACCAGCTGCATGCAGCAGATTTCGTAACCCCCCCTTTCCCAATCCCCCCCTTTCGCCCGGCCCGATTGTCGCTGCACAGCTGCAGGTGGTCCGGGGCGACAGGGGCGAGCGTGAGCGGGATTGCATTCTGGGACGGGCGGCCAACTTGGGCTGCCGGGGACACGTGGAACTGGGGCGATGGTGTCAGCTGCAGCAGGAGGTCTATGCGACCATGGCTCCGCCGAGCCTCCCAGCTATGGAGGAGCCCCGGGACATGGACGCCATGCAGAAAGAGGTGGACGACGTGTGGAAGCAGACGTCTCTCTACCTCGAGCACTTCTTCAGGAGCACGATGAGGAGGGCAATGGAGGAGGCAGGAGAGGAGGCGGAAAGCATCCGAGGATGGAGCATCAGGAAGAACACGCAGACGTTTCGGTACCAGGAGCACAGGTTCGGGGAATGTGACGACCCGCACATGTCGGCGCACATCCAGCAGCTTGACAACCTGCGGGGGCGGATGCGGCACATGCAGTGGCTGCGGAGGAAAGGCCGCGAGGAGAACGCCGAGGGGCGAATGCTCGAAGAGAGGATCCGCGAAGGGCTGACGAAGCATCGGCTGGTGACGTTGAAGGAGGTCGAGGCGAAGCTGGCGGAGCTCCGGAAGCAGCGGAGGCAGGGCCGCATCGACAGGTGGCGCAACCGTCTGCGAGGGTCGCTCTGGACATGCTGCGCCTGGGTGGAAGACGGCCGCACGATTCCACCGACGGGCGTGCACGCGGAGGAGAAGGAGGAGGAGCCCAAGGGCGAGGAGCAGGAAGGGAGGACGAGGAGCGAGGAGGACGAGGCCAGGGAAGAAAGCGCCACGGAGCAGGAAGCGCTTGCACTGCTGGCGCGGCACTGGAGGAAAGTCTGGGGGCGCGAGCTTGCGCCGCAGGAGGAATGGCAGCAACGGGTCGAGGACACGCTGCCGCCTGCGTCGGAGGAGATCTGGCGACCTGTGTGTCCCATGGAGCTGCCAGGCGCCATGGGCAGGCTACGGGGATCCGCTCCGGGAGCTGACGGCTGGCACGGAGATGAGCTCGCTTCGCTCTACTGCCCTGCGGTGGTCCACCACCTTGCTGACGTCTTCAACTTTATGCTTTATGCTGGACCAAGGCTGCGTGCCCACAGTGGCGCAAGGCACGGCAAGTAATGCTCCCGAAGGAAGGCAAAGGAAGGAGAAAGAAGGATGGGAGCATAGCTGCGCAGGCGCTGCGACCCATCACCATCTTGAGCTGCTGGTGGCGCCTGCTCGGCAGCGTGCTGCTGAGGTCGCCAAAGTGTGGCAGAAGAAATGGTGGACGGAGGAGGCAGTTGGAGGACGCAAGGCCGGAGAGATGCACATGCCGCTCATGCGCCTCATCGACTCGTACCACCAGGGTGATTTCATCGCGTCCTATGACTACACGTTGGCTTTCGACCAGACCGACCCCAAGCTGGCAGTTGCAGTGTTGAGGAAGCTCGGGTGCCAGCGCGCGGTCGCCGCTAATTATCCTGGAACAGGTGTGGACCGGACAGCTCCGGCACTTACAATACCAAGGAGTCACACTCCGGCGGCCGGAGGAGGTGGGCACCTCGCTGCCCCAGGGCGACCCGTGGTCCATTATAGCTATGGTGGCGGTCCTACACCTGCCGATCACCGCCATCGTGGCGCGCTTCCCCGGGACGGAGCTCTCCTGCTTCGTGGACGACAGGTCGAGGAAGTCCAGCACAGCGCAGGAGCTGCTGGCAGTTGGTGAGCAGTGGAGGAGGTGGTCGCTCGTCTTGTGCCTCAAGGAGAATGAGGCGAAGTCCCAGCACGCCCAACGGACGGCCGCGGGCAGGAAGCAGCTGCTCAGAGCAGGCGCGCCGGACACCACGGTGACGGACGCTCCAGATACCCTTGGCCCGCCAAGGAGGAAGAGGAAGGAAGTATACCAGGAAGGAGGAGACGAGGCTGAGGAGGGCCAAGGTGATGCTCGAAAAGAGTGCGCGCCTGCTGGTCTGCAGAAGGATGAAGGAGGCGACGATGGCGAGCAAGGCGCTGGCAGTCGCCGAGTACGGCTGGATCGACAGCCAGATGAACAAGAGGGACGAGACGCAGCTGCAGGCGGCGATCGTGACGGCGAGGCAGGAGCCCAAAGCAGGGAGCCCCCACCTCTGGGCCATCTTCTGTGGCCACCGGCTCAGTGTCAGGTGCCGCCTGCTGACGACCGCCTTCATGGCAGCGTGGCGCACCCTCCGCAAGGACCAGCGGCGGGCCACGCTGGGAACCTGGAGGAGGCAGGAGGGATGCTCTGGCCGGATCCACGCCCTCCTGCAGGGCTGCGGCTGGCAGGAACGCGCCGAGTGGGAATGGAGGCACCCGGTCACGGGCGTCATTCTCACCCTGCGCAAGGGAAGCGAGCACTGGTCTGAGTGCAAAGGACGCCTCGAGCACGTGCTCCGGGAAGGCTGGCGCGCGAACCTCTTCGGGAGGTGGCGGGGGCAGAGCCGCATCGACTCGTCTCTGTGCCGGTTCGAGCAGTACGACGAGCGGCGCTGCAAAGCCGCGAGGCTTCTGTCAGAGGGCAGCACGCACGCGGCCAGCGTGATGTCCGGAGCTTTCGTCTCGGCGGCGCACCTGCAGGCGGCGCAGGGCAGAGAGGAGAGAGGAGGAGGAGGAGGAGGAGGAGGAGGAGGAGGAGGAGGAGGACGAGGACGAGGACGACGACGAGACGGGCGAGCAGCAGTGCAGGAGCATTGCCCCAGCTGCGGGAGGAACGAGGCGCCGGACTTCGAGCACGTGGTCTGGCGCTGCGAGGCGGAGATCAGGCCCGTTGGCCGGCCACAGGATGCGCTGCAGCGGCGCCTCCTCTGGCCGACCGGCCTGAAAAGCAGGAAGGAGGTGGACGCCGGCCTGCTGTGGCGGGCCGTCGCCATACGCAAGGCGATCCTGGAGGAGCGCCGCGGAAGGAGGCCGGCCGAAAGCGCCAGCAGCGCGCCCCCAGGGAGCTGAGGGCAGGACGAGGAGGGAGAGGAGGTGAGGAGCCAGAGGGAGAGGTTGAGGGAGGGCGGAGGTATAGGAGGAAGAGGAGGTAGAGGCAGAGGAGAGTAGACTTGCAGGGAGGAGGAGAGAGAGAGGAGGAAGAAAGGAAGTATTTTCACATGTGTGCACTGTTATGAAGTGGCAGTGTACATCATTCAAGCTAGTAGTAGGCCAACGGTAACGGTTGCCGCGACGTGCATCCGCCAGCATGGCATGCGCGCGCCGCGGTGGCTGCGGTCGACCGTGCGGGGCAGCTTGCAGAAGCCATCTGCGGGGTGGTTCCCCTTGCTTGCGCCCCGCAGCAAGTAGCCAGAGATGGTGAGGACTACGCTTTTCTTACGCACAATCGATTTAGTGGGACCCCGGAACATCACGTATAGGTTGTTTGCGACTGCCTCGGGACCGCAGGGTGAGCAACCAACGGTGCTGAAGCTTCGAGCCATGACAATCCCAGGCAGCACCAATGGAGGGAGTGGGGGTCCGACATTGGCAGCCAGGTCCAAGTCCGCAAAGTGAAATCCCATCGTTACTTCGGAATCGGATGTTTCGACCGATCACGACGTGTGGATTGCTCGTGGAAAGAATATGGCTGACAAGTACGCTACGAGAGGCGCCGCCCTTCTCTGGGGGATCCCTGAGCAGTGGCCTCTATTTGTTTCAGGTTGCTAGAGACTGTGCTATGTGGCATGGCCGAGCCCAGGCTGCTTTCGGATCCTTGGAGCAGCCTGAATCGGATGATATTGCAGGCACCGCGGACATTCAATTCAACGATGAATACTCTCATGAACTGTTGGAGGCCTGCGAGCAGAAAGGTGTGCAACCTTTCGAGCGGGATCCTGGCGACGAGGGGACCTCTTGGCCTTCCCTCGCTCCGCCTCCACGTCCTGTTCCTCAAAGCTTCCCTGCTTCAGCCAGGGTGCCGTGGCCATTCCGTGGACATTCGGTGGTCCAGGCTCCTGTGAAAGCTGAGTTGGGAGAGGTGCTATCCGCTCTACTCTTCTGCAAATTGTGCGGGGCATCGGTGCATACGGCTGCACGGGGGCCAGGTTCAAGGCCCAGACCATCCCGATCTCGAGACACGACGCTCGAGGCGACGCCGTGCTTCTCGGCCACAACTCGGATAGGCCACCATCGGCCCTGCCCTCGCACCGTCGATTGCGATTAGAGCTGTCTCGGGTCCTCTGCTTGAGCGCGGAACCAAACGGCGTGTGGCTGTGGGGGGCCATCCGCTCCGGCCGAGGCGGCTGCGGAGCGGAGCTCTGGCGTGGCGAGCCTGGCTTTTTCTGTCTTGTTGTTGGCGCTCTGCCCTGCTCTGAGGCCTCCCAGGTCGCCCAGCTGCACGGAGCTGCTTCACCCGAGACGCTGGCGCAGTGGGAGCTGACCCAACGCCGGCGTGAGCGGTTTGACACTGCGCGTCGGGAGGGGGAGGCCAGCATAGGCCGAGCCCCTTCGTCGTGGCCAGCGTGCCAGGGGCCAATGGACAGCCCGCATCATCAGCACCCTCAGCACCCTCATCCTCCTCCGCCTCGGCCTCCGCCTCCGCCTCCACCCCCGCCCGAACCTCCGCCTCCGCCCCCGCCCCCGCCTCCGCCTCCGCCTCCGCCCCCGCCTCCTCCTCCTCCTCCGCCTCCTCCTCCTCCTCATCTGTTCCTTTTTCCTTATGATTGGCGGTGCGCACAAGGGGGGGGTGGAGGGAGTGGGGAGGGCTTCTTAGAAGGCGCCGGCCTCACATCTATAGATGAGGCCCGCGCCTTCTAAGAAGCAAGGGTGCTTCTAAGAAGCCCTCCCCCCTCCCCCCACCCCCCTCTGCGCGTGGCTGATATGAACAACTCTTCCGTCGCACGCCGAGACCAGTTGGAACGGGCTGGGCGTTTCGCCTGAGACTTCCTTACCGTTTATGATTCTGAAGCTAGAAAAGTGGCAACCATTTCACATATGGAGGGCCTGCGGTTTTCAAACTGTGGTTCTTGCCGTAGCGCCGTGCACATTCGTCTTAACAAACTCGCAAGAGCTTCACCGATTGAGGACGGGACGCTTTCAAAATGTGGCTCTCGCCTTAGCGCCGCGCATGCACGCACACTAGTCTTGAAAATTTGAAAGCGTCTCACGGGTTGAGAGCGAGCCGTTCTCAGAATGTGGCTCACGCCTCAGCGCCGCGCATGCTCGTTATCGAAAATGCACGAGTTTCAGGAATTGAGGGCGGGCCGCTATCAAAACGTTGCTTTCGCCTTACCGCCGCGCGCATTCGTCCTAACAAATTGCAAGGGCTTCACGAATTGAGGGCGGTTCCTTTTCAAAATGTGGCTCTCGTCTTAGCGCCGCGCAGATTCGTCTTAAACATTTGCAAGAGTTTCACGGATTCCCATGGCCCACATACCAAACATGGTGTTTTGGGAACGATTCAGCATTGCCTGGGCTTGCGTAACAGTTACGTTGGTTCGCTGTGTTGGAGCCCCAGAAATGGCGTTATGGTCCGATTCAGGATGGTCAAGACGCCACAGTCATGTTGATTCGTGGCGTTGCAATCCCGAGAATGGTGTTTTGGCACGCTTCAGGATCTTCAAACTGTTCTCTTCCAATGGGGCACTTTCTTCAGTGGCAATGAACCCTTGCAGGGGCCTATAAAGGGGTGCTTGGAGGGAGGGTTGACTCCAGCATCGTTGGTGAGCCTTGGGTTTACACTGGTACTCCATCTCGTCCTCCTTCTCCTCCTCCTCCTCATCCTCCTCCTCTTCCTTCTCCACCTCCAGATCTCCGCTCAACATGAAGGGATAGAGGAACAAAAAAGCTGCAGAAACAGACTATAAACGCCGACCGCCCGCGCGGATGTCCTGGAGCAGGGCTGGACGCGCAGCGCGCTGGGGGCGGCGCAAGAGGCACCGCAAAGGCGGGGGCCATCGCCGATCCAAGAAATCCGCGCGGGGCTCCAAGAGGTTCAATATCGTTTACGTCGGCTTCAACTGAGCTGCCAAGCTTGATCCAGCCAGATCCAGCTCGGTGGCTCCGTAATCGGGCGTCATCACTTCTTATCGTTCTGACGAAGGCCTCCCAGGAGTCGCTTTCCCAGGGTGGGCTGAGGTTCGGTGTGGGCGGGTGGCGGGCAGATGCGCGGGAGGGCAGCGTGGCGCTGTCTGCTTCGACCATCTCCGCTCAGCATGAAGGCGGCGGGTCTCGGGGGGAGAGGGGTCGTGGATCAGGTCGGCAGGCCCTCCTACAGGCGGATGTGGGCGAAAACATAAAACAGACTCGAAGCACAAAACAGAAATGGTCGAATCAAATCGTCCCCACGCCGTGTTTCTACCATGCTTGAAGCCTCCGCCCGTGCAGGGCCAGGCCCGCCTTTCTGTGAGTCTCGGAGGCCTCGGGCCCTCTGCGGGCCCCCAACGGGCGGGGCCCCCTCCCCGGCCGCCGCGGCCGCCGCACAGAAAAGAGGCGAAGGGGTGAAGGTGGAGGCGGGGATGGCGGGTTTCTCCCGAAGGGCTTAGGCGACCCGTCCTCCTCATCATCCTCCTCCTCCTCCACCCTCCTCCTCCTCCGTCCTCCTCCCTCCTCCTCCTCCTCCTCCTCCTCCATCCTCATCCTACCTCCTCATCCTCCTCCTACTCCTCCTCCCCTCCTCCTCTCCTCCTCCTCCTCCTCCTCCTCCTCCATCCTCATCCTCCCTCCTCATCCTCCTCCTACTCCTCCTCCTCCTCCTCCTCCTCCTCCTCCTCCTCCTCCCCCTCCTCGCCCTCCCATCCTCGGGTCGCCTACGGCTCCGGGGGAAACCGTGGAGGCGGGGATAGGGCTGGACGTAAGTCGGGCCTGTCCCTCTGCAGGAGAAATGTTCAAACATAGTGTTTAACAAATAGTCTGGGGCCGATGTTTCGACTATGTTTGACCATGCTTGACTATTTGTGTTGCGTTCTTTTGTTTGTCGCCCAAAATCCGCCTGTAGGAGGACATGCCCGACCTAAGGCTGGACCTTAACGTCGCTTGTCGTTTTGTTATCGTGTTGTTTCTCGTTTTGCTATACCTCTTCTCCTGTACCTCCCTGCCAAAACGAAAAACAAAGCACAGCCGAAGTCGAGCAAAACAACGTTTAGGTCCAGCCCTTGGCTGGGATACATCCATGCCCACCGCCTGAGGAACCGACGTCATGGGACCCCAGCGGGCGGTGGATGTGGATATCCTTTGTCGGTGGCGAGCGTGGGGGAGAAATGAGAGGGAGAAGGCCTTCTCGGAAGGCAGCGGGACTTCTCAGAAGCCCTCGCACATGCTGAGAGGTTGTCGGTGTCTTCGGGGAAGGCTTGGAAAACTTCTCAAAGGCAGAGAGACTCCCGAGCCTTCTGAGAAAACCCGCCGCTTCTCACTTTTTAAGGGGAACTGGGTCACACAAATAAATAAACACAAATAACCAGATTCCCCATAGTTTCCCATATTTGCTGTGTTTCTGTCTTCCCCCCCACTTCCCATATGTTCCTATATGCTCCTGGGAATCGACGATTAATGGTGTCTGTGTGTTGTTTCTCCTCCTGAACTTTACCCCTGGGCTCGCGGCCGAATATCCGTGTCCACCGCCTGGGCAACGGACGTTCTGGGACCCCAGCGGGCGGTGGATGTGAATATTTG